CCCTTGTATTGCCTTGACTGATAATGGCTGGAGGTCAAAGAGCATGGTACAGTGCTGACTTTGACTCTCCAGTACAGCCTTCACCGGCTCTATTTGACTTCAGTCACTATATATATTGGCATGAAGGTTGGAAAAAGATAAGACACAGATAAAACCCTAAATCCGACCTAAATCCCTCAGTTTTCTATTTGTGAGTTCTGAAATTGGGGTTTTGGTGAGTGGGTAAGCTTGAGTGCTTGATATGTTCTTTCTTTGTGGTTTTCTGGGTAATCTAGGGTTTGAGTGTTTGAGAGAGATAGAAGATTCTTTCTTCTTTGAGTTACTCGGGTGGTGTATATTGAAAGTGTGAATCTCTGGTGTGATAATTGGAAGACTGAGCTGAAAATCTCAATCTATTTATCTTTCAACTTATTCACCTTTTCATTCTCTCCTTTCTGTTATACATATCTATCTACATATATACATATATATATATATATATATATATATATATATATATATATATATATATATATATATATATATATATATATATATATATATATATATATATATATATATATATATATATATATATATATATATATATATATATATATATATATATATATATATATATATTTATATATATGTGTGTGTGTGTGTGTGTGTGTGTGTGTGTGTGATATGCCTAATTGGGCCAACTAAATGGGCCTACAATTTCTTTACCTAATGGGCCACAAACCCAATATTGAAGACCACTACTACCGATGCTCAATTACCTTCAAATAGAGTTTTGGCCTGACAATCTCAACTAATCAAACTTCAGCCCAATCAATGAGCTATAAATAAAGGTTTGAACTCATTCCTTAGGTACGTCCTATTACCCGAGAAATACTATCAACTGTATTCTCTGGACTATTTCCACTATCCGCACGTCTGACTTGAGCGTCGGAGGGGTTTCCGCCGGATCAACCCCCGGCCTAGTTCACGTGTGCTATGATTGCAGGTATCTCGAGGTCATCAAGCTCGTGAGCCAGTGACTCACTCTGCTCTTCCAGCTCATCCTACTTCAACTCTCTAAGGTGATCTACTTTTTAGCATCATCAATATATATATTTTTTGGCCGAAAAAACTTTATTATTCCATTATTATCGAAAGACTTGGGGCCTCGTTAAAAACCTTGTGGGCCTACACAAGGTAAAAGAGTACCCCTACAATGGAAATAAAAAGTCTGGGGCAACCCTAGCATTTCTAATTAAAAAAGGCCCTAAAATGGGGCTAAAATGAAATAAACTATAAAGCTGCCTAATAAAGCTTAAAAAACGAAAATAGCATAATTTCCCCCATTTGTTGCCACTAAAGTAATTATCCAAAATATCTTCTTTGCCAACATCCATTATCACCTGTCGAACACTACTCTTCTTATTCACCATCATTATCACAATATTTGCTGGAATTGCTAGAATGACCCCCACCCAAGTTGCTAGTAAAAATGCATTTGGTTGCCAATTCCACCAGCATGCCTTGCTTTTAATTTGCGCCCTCATTTGGTTCTTGAAAATCTACGAAACTGAGGAATTCCAATCCTATCGTGAAGTAATAAAGGTCTAATATAACGAGGAAGTTCGTTTACAACTTTAAATAGCTTACTCTCTTTGTGCTCATGAGCCAACTTAGCTAACCCATCAGCCACTCGATTACCCTCTCGATAAATATGCATCATCTGCCAATCATCCTTGAGAAGTCTTCTAATGCAACTACGACTTTATGATAAATCATGTCGATAACTAATTTGGAATCTGACTCCACTTTAACTTGTGTAAAACCCATCTCATGACAAATTCGCAACCCATCGAGAATTGTCTGGGCTTCTGCAAGAATGTGAGTACCTTGACCGTAAAAATTAGAAAATCCTCGAATAAAAGATCCATCGTGAGTCCGAATTAACCCACCACCGGAACATTCATCCCCTTTTCTTGAGCCGTCCACGTTGACCTTGACTTGAAGTGGATTTGGAGGGTTCCACTTTATCCAGCTGCCCCTAGTCAATGAAGGTGACTTAACCTCCAAATTTAATTGTTGGATTATGAGGCGACCCATCAGTTTCATTGGGCGTTTTCCCAAGAAAGCGTCGTTCAAAGCTCGAAGATGTGAGAATATACTTCGAGTAATAGTGATCGTATTCATCGGAGTATCCTCGAAGATTGCCCTGCACCAATTTTTCCAGATCTCCCAACAACCGAACATGAGAGTACCAAGCTCCATAAAACCGTCTTGAGTATTAATATTAGCATCAACCACCCACACTTGAACTAGATGCTTCATAGACCCATAAACATAAGGTTTCTGCCAAATCCGTGCGTAGTTACTCCAAACACCACGAGCAATATCCGACTGAATGAATAAATGAGAAAGACTTTCTTGCTTGGGAGCAGCACAACACCGACATTTGGATGGAGTCATGCAGCCCCGCCTTCGAAGAACCAAGTCCACCTGGATCGCTCCATATGACAGTTTCCAGAAAAATGCACCTATGTTATATGGAATTTTAGGATGCCAAATTTTTTTCGCCAAAGGATTCGGAGAAGCTTTGGAATGGATCAACTCCCAATAGTCAGCCACATTAAAATTCCCATAAATCGATTTTGTGAAGATTAATCTATCCTCAACCCTCACATCCAGCTCAATAAGATCGAAGATCGTTTGTTGCTCCGGCTGCAGTTGAGGAGTAAATTGTTGCGGCTGTTCCTTAGCCTCCCTAAAAGAGATAGATTGAGTTTCATCAAGACCTTCATTGTCGATCCAACGATCTCTCTAAAAATCGATATCCCCTTTTCCCACAATCCATCTACTATAATTCTCCAAGAGTTGTAGATGAGGGAATAGTTCTCGCCACAGTAAAGAGGCATGAGCTGGAATTTGGCTTTGAAAGTCTTACCCGTATTTTGCTCTGGCGAACCGAGCCCAAAGAGTTTTACCTTCTAGGACCCGCCATGCCAACTTACCCGCCATAATCTTCTTAGTGTCTAGCAATGAGCGAAAACCAAGGCCACCTTCATCTTTCGGCTGACAGATAGTCGTCCAATTGATCCAATTAATCCCATATCCTTCATATTTACCCCATAAAAATTTACGAAAAAGCCTCTCCATTCGGACTAAGGTTTTCTTGGGAACCACGGCTGATGAAAGAGTGTGGGTGGGCAGGCTAAAAAGAACCGAACGTACCAGTGTCATTCTACCACCAAACGATAATAACTTCGATTGCCATCGTGCCAGCCGATGTTGAACCTGTTGGATCAAATAATAAAAATGTTTCACGAGACAACGGCCTTTTTATATTGGAACCCCAAGATATTTCAACGACAACGAGTTATGGATGCAACCAGTCCATTCTTTAAGGAGATGAATTTTAGTATGTCGGATCCTCTTAGATGTGTAAAATCCACTCTTATCCAAATTAATCAGCTGACCAGACGAATCCTCGTATTTTTTTAGCATGTGCCTTAATCTCGTGACCGATTTTTTGCTGCCATTGGTGAATAAAAGCATATCGTCCGCATAAAAAAGATGGGAGATGTGAAGTGAGCCTCGACGGACTTTATACTTTTTACTGCGTTCTTGATCCTCCAATCGTTTAATATTGAGAGTGAGAATTTCTTGGGCGATGATAAATAAAAGTGGAGAAAGGGGATCACCTTGACGAACTCCTCTGGAAGATTTGAAATGACCGTACGATTCCCCAGTAATTAATATAGAATACCAAATATTGGAAAATGATCTATATAGTAGATCACACACTGGATGTGAAAATCCCAGGGGGTGCAAGGCTTTAAGCAAAAACCTCCATTCCAATCTATCGTAGGCCTTAGACATGTCAAATTTAAATATAATATTTCCACCTTCAACTTTTCGATCAATATCCAAAACCAATTCTTGCGCTATAGCAATCGATTCATGGATGCTCCTGTCTTTCAAGAACCCTGATTGTTCTTCCGAAATTATCCGAGGTAGGAATGCGTTTAATCGCAAAGCAATAATTCTGGAAATAACCTTGCTAGCAAAGTTTCCCAAGCTGATTGGCCGAAATTGAGTAAGGTTTTCCGGATTAGAAACCTTCGGCAGAAGAAAGAGAAGAGTAGTGGACATGCATTTCAAGAGATAGTCCCCTTGAAAATAGACACTAACTAGCAGCATAAAATCTTCCTTGATTATACTCCAACATCGAACATAAAAGTAACCTGTGAAACCATCTTGCCCAGGAGCACTATCCGGTGACAAATCTTTAATAGCCTTGTAAACTTCATCTTCGTCCGGGATTTCGCAAAGTTTAGTATTCATTGTTGTAGTAACCTTAGCTTCCACATGTGAGAACAGATCTTGATCAAGATGGTAAGGAGTAGCCTGAAAAAGATCATCAAAATAGGCCAATGCTTTCGCCCCTATAAGTTGATAGTCTGACGTGAAGGAACCATCGTCGAGCTTGAGGGTAATCTGATTCCTTTTCTTTCTCTCTTTGATCCGGGCGTGAAAATATTTGTTGTTTCGATCTCCTTCCTCCAGCCATTTAACTCGAGCTTTGATAGCCAAAAGTGCATTCTCCCATTCTAACTGTTGAACGAGGTCCGTTTTTGTTTTTGGCATTCTGTGAACAAATCATCTTCCCATGCATGGGAAAGACGGGCTTCCATATCCGCTATATTACTTTGCATGGAAGAAATATTATCCTCGAGTTTCCCAAAAACCTCCCAATTCCACTTTCTAAGAGCCTTGCGAAGGTTGGCCAACTTACTCTCAAAATTAGCACGACCGCCAGGAATAATCTGTTGCCAAAAAGAGGCAATGAAATCTTGGTAATTGTGGTGCTCCGTCCACATTTTTTGAAAGTAGAAACGAGATGGCTTAGTTTGCAGCTGGCCAAAGTTGAGAAGTAATGGGCAGTGGTCAGATTCCAGCCTTGGGAGATGATCCACTCTGGCCGAAATGGCAGTGAAAGCCTCCGCGTTCAACAAAATTCGATCTAATCTTTGCCAAATGAGATTTTGACCCCGTTGATTATTACTCCAAGTGAAGATATTACCCACGAAACTTGCATCTGTTAAGCGAGCATCAACTAAAAAGTCATTAAAATCTTGCATCCCCGTCATATGTGCGTTCGATCCTCCCTGCTTTTCATCTAGAGTTTTGATAACGTTAAAGTCTCCACCAATCACCCAAGGCTCATGACAAGTGCTACTGTGATGAGATAGATAATCCCGCAGAGGTAATCGTTCCTGCCGATTGCATTTAGCGTATACGAAGGTCAGCTTCCCAGAAAAAAATATTTGGAATCACCACTTCGGCAGTAAGGCATTGAGGATGAATCTCCAGCGTCTTCCAATTCACCTCGTCTCTCCAAAACACCCATATATAAGGATTGAGAGGGTTTCCATGAGTATAATTCTTGTAACCAATCTTCTGGGCAATTTTTGTAATTTTATTAACTTGTTGTTTAGGCTCCAAAATAGCAACTATTTGTGGTTTACGTTGTGTAATTATCTTTAAAAGATATAGAAGGGATTTCGGGTTCCCCGCACCTCTAATGTTCCAGATAAGAATAGACATTAAGAAACAACAGGGTCCGGTGGTGCTTTGATATGAATTTCTTTTCTCGGTCGACCCGGCTTTCGTTTGGTCTTAGTAGTAGATTTAGTTTTTTTCTTGGAACTCGGTGCTGATTCCAGTGCTTGAACGTTAGTTTCAGCTGCCGAAACTCGTACCTTATCTTCTTCTTCCGAAGTTTGAGATTCGTTATCTTCATCTTCATGTGTTTGCCCATCAGAGATCGAGCCTTTATCCATGTAACGAGATTCCATATTAGTTATAAGTTCATTTTCGGTAGTTTTATAATTCCCATCTTTAACCACTAAATGCCCCAGTTTCACCTCGTCAAGACATTGAAAATCTGTGCCATTTGGACTTCTAAGTGCGTCATCTTCCACTGAAATAGCGTTGATTGTGTCTTGGGTAATTCAGGCCTCCATAGCCACCGCTTCCCCATTCTCATGTTCCAATACTTCAAATCGATTCTCGATACTAACATCTTCAGAGTTTTTTTTTGTCAGTATATTAGGGTCGACTCTGATGGGTTTGCAAGGGCTCCGACCTCCAACTCGCCTGGTAGTGGGTGGCATGCTACCCCTTTCACTTCCGGCTAATCCTTCCACTGCCTTGGTGCCCCTCCTTTCTCGAAGCGTGCCTAGCCTTTCTTCTGGTCGCACCCGAGCTGGCGTAATACGCCCAGCAGCAGGTCCTTCCTCTCAGAAGCCTCCGAGGCTCCGACCAAGCGAGTTGACTATTGTTCGGGCCTTGCCGAAGCCCCCGTCCTTCGTCCCACCCTCTTTGATGGCGCCCTTTGAGCCGGAGCAGTTGAACTCATCGATTTTTATGTCGGTCTTAGTACGTCAAGAGATCGAGAGCTCCTTCAGAATTCATTTGAGGGTGGGGCTTTGCAGCGTGCCGCCATGGCTTTGAGTCAGGTATGTTCTTCCCCTCGTCATATTCTTCATGTCAACATCAGTGAAGGTTTTCCACCGCTGCCGTAGCCGCTAGTGCGGCCTTTGTCAGTGAACTACCGTCTGCTCCGCATGTGGGGTACTTGGGAATCATGTCTTGTCATAAGTCCTGGGCATATGCGCTTAGGCTTTCTAACGGGTTTGTTTGCTTAACGGGCCTCTGGGCATTCGTGCCAATATCACTAATTGTATTTAGGGGTTATATCAGATAACCCCTCATACAATTTCCTTAGAGACATAAATTCACTTTTTTATCAATTATTAGGGATAACCCCTCACATAGCATAATACCCCATTTATCTCTATTATACTCATGAAAATATTAAAAATTAATCATCAATTGGATTAATATGAAAAATCAATTACAAAAATCTGTAAATATACTCCTTTGATTTGCAAAAAAGGTATATATCCTTTTCGTTTTTAATTTTGATTTATTTAAAAAAAAAAAAATTTTTGTTTTAAATAGTTTTCAAAATATTTTTTTTCCTGGTAGATTTAGCAAATCGAAATCTACTACATACTTAATTTAAAAATCCACAATTTATTAACATAATCAACTATGCATTTTTTTTTATAATTTCTTGTTTTTCTTTGACCGGGTTTACCAAAAATAGAAAAATCGACTACACGTTCGTCAAAATTTATCGACATTCACTAAACGTAATCTACTATTCAAAATCCACTATTCACTGAAAATGCACTGTAAGCGCTATCACCGTCCCACCATTCTAACATAATCTGCTATACATTGCGCATGAGAATTCGAAATCCACTATTCACTGAATTCGAAATCCCCTACTCACCGTAAACGTTGTCGTTCTCCACTCCTCTATTACCTGAGCCTGCATCAGGTATATATGTCGGCAAGAACGGCGATATTAACGTAATCCACTAAATTAATGTGATTTGGCCACGAACTTTAGTAGCCAACTTCAACAAATAGATAGACAAACAAATCATCGGTACTAAAAAAATACAATTTTCTTTGCAAGGAGAAATAAAGAACGACTTTAACAATTCTAATAAAACTACTACTATCTCTTTTCTTATTTTCAAATAATGGCAAGGAACTTGACACCAAAATAACACCGTTGCCGCCACCGAAGTAGCAGAGTTACGGCATTACCCGACATAGTCACCCCCTCCGCCTGCTAAGGACATGAACCAAAGAAAAAGAAGGCTACAAAATATCAGTTCAATTCTGATATGCCTAATTGGGCCAACCCAATGGGCCTACAATTTCTTTATCTAATGGGCCACGAACCCAATATTTAATACCGATATCACCGAGGCCCAATCACCTTCTAGTAAGGTTTGGGCCCGACAATCTCAACTAAGCTATAAATAAAGGTTTGAACTCAATCCTTAAGGTACGTCCTATTATCCAAATAATACTAGGGTCATATTATCCCAACTATTTCTACTATCCACACGTCTGACTTGAGCGTCGAGGGGTTTCCGCCGGATCAACCCCCGGCCTAGTTCACGTGTTCTTTGTTCGCAGGTATCTCAGGGCCATCTAGCACGTGAGCAGTAACCCACTTTGCTTTCCCAGCTCCTTCAATCTCAACTATCTATGGTGATCTATTTTTAGCATCATCATTTTGGCGCCGTCTGTGGGAAGGCAGACATAATCACGTAGCGCGCACGATTGCCTTGAGACATTTGCCCAGGGGAAGTGTGACACTGCTGACGACCTCCCACCTCGTGGAGCCTCTGGCTTGCCACTTCCTCCTCCTCGTGCTCGGGATCCACCACGAGACCTTCCTCGGATGTCCCACCAGATCCTCAACATGATTCACTTCTTCCCGCCCCTCGATCGGTTCAGACAACCGACGAGGCCCTTCAATGCTAGCATGGGTTATAGACTCCCTGGGGGCTTACATCTGCCCCCAAAATATTTCGTTCGCCAAGGGTTATCGACTCCCTGGGGGCTTACCTCTGCCCCCAAAATATTTCGTTCGCCAAGGGTTATCGACTCCCTAGGGGTTTACCGTTCCCCATAAACATTTCGCTCGCCAAGGGTTATCGACTCCCTGGGGGTTTACAATACCCCCAAAATATTTCGTTCACCAAGGGTACGTGATCGCTTCTTCATAAGTAGGGGGTTATCCCAACCCAAGGTTAGGCATCTCATCCCAAGGGTACGTGATCGCCTCATCCTAAATTGGGGTTTATCCCACCCAAAGTTAGGCATCTCATCCCAAGGGTACGTGATCGTCTCATCCTAAGTTGGGGGGTTATCCCACGCTAAGGTTGGGCATCTCATCCCAATGGTTGAACTCCACCCTTACTTTTCAACCCCAAGCGGGTTCACATCCCACATATCCATTCGGATTTACATCACTCTCGGATCCCTCTGATTCTTCACTATCACTCCTAAAATCTACAAATTGGGATCTAAGACGTCTCCTACTAGTATCAACATCATCAATAATATTGGTAATTCCATTATTCGTTGCCAAATTATGATCCGGAGAAGAAACAAGTTGACGCTCCGCGAAAACGGGCGAAAAAGGGCATATAACGCGCCCCGACGCGCAAATCAGCCCCACCCTACCCACCCCCACCCCCACCCACCCGCGCGAACAAATATCAAGTCATGAAGCATGCAAAAATACTAGTGGACATACCCACTTAATAAAAATAAAAATCAAAAATAAAACCAAGTCTTTTTCTAAGGAAAGTAAACATAACATCACACCAAACTACACTTTACGAGCAGAAGTAGCTTCGGTAGTTCGGTCATCCGCTTCCGCATCCGAGGCAATTTCAGTACACTCGACATCGGTATCCTCTCCATCATCAGGAATGTCCTCCTCCATACCTCGAATAATCTTCTCGTCAATACCACCAACCTTGCGTAAGTACTGACGACACGTCCTAACCAAAGGAGCATAAACCCCAGCTATTGCTCGTTCTTCGGTCATAGCTCGGCAGATATCACTCTTCTGAAAGCGACGTTCCCCCTCTACCATAACCGATTCCTTGTAAGCAGCTCCAGCTGAGGAAGCCAAAAACCTCTTCCCCGTAAACTTCTCGGCATCATACTTCTCCTTTAGCTCGTCATAACACCGATCTAGTTTCATTAGTTCAATTTTACTCGCCTCGGTCTCGCTCCTACTAATCTCCAATTCATCGGTCCTCCGAATGAGCAGAGTCTCGGCCACTTCTAGTTTGGATTCCGCTGCCTCCAATTGAGCCTTTAGCTCTTTCTCCCTTGCCTCCCAACCAGCACGCTCCTCATCATTGGTCTTCTCAACTTGCTCCTCCTACTCCATAAGATACCTCCATATAGCTATGAGCTATATCAAAATTCAAACAGATAATATTAGATTATCGAAACTTATAATTTAAAACGAAAACATAAAAAAAAATAAAAAAAAATATTTTTTTTACCCGACACATGTCTCCTCCAGCCAACGAAAGCATATGAGCACGGCCTTTACCCGACATCCGACTTCGGTCGTACTCCCCAACGAAATCTTCGGTCTTCCTCAGCGCGATAGTATGATCGGTCGTATCCCACAAATAATCCTTTCCCTCTCGATTCACCCCGTACGTGAACAGGCATTTGCCTGCACCCCCTGGAGGCACATGAGAAACCTCAGGATCCACTCGAGGCCGTTTCGGTGCAGGCACATACTCGATCTCAACCAACTCATCCTTCCCATTATTAACCACTCGATCCAGCTCATCCCCCTCGACATTATGATTACAATCATCTCCGCTCACATGCGGAGCCTCCACGCGGGTCACTTCGCGCGATTTGCTACTACTTGATTTCGCTTGCTTCAAAGGATCCCTCTTCGCTTGCTTTTTCGCACCTCCAGTAGCCCTCTTCGGAAGAGCCGCGAAATCAATACACCCATCTAAAAAAAAAAAAAAAAAAAAACATTTACTCACGGATAAAGTAAAATAGCATAGACAACACAAATTATGGCACAGAGATAAAACATGTAGACTACACGCAACGATGTAGCCGCCTGACCCTTTGGAATAAGACAACTCGGATCAAACTCCAAAGCACACAACCGCGACTCCTCAATACGTTTCTTCATATTCTTCATTATCTTAAAAGATTCGCATACCGAATTCCAAATAAGGGGAACATCGGACGTCGGAGCCCTTACATAAAAAAATAAAGTACTCCATTTATCCCGCTTCAAGTTAATCCTCTTCAAGAATCTGTAAGGAACCCGAGGATGTATGCAGAAGAAGGGTAAATCACTTGAACGATGTAGGGTAAACAAGGCCTTGAACATCTCAACACTAGTCGGTAATCCTACTTCGATCAC